GCCTCACCAGAGCCGAATAAAGGGAAATAATCACTTTTCTGGATCTGCTGGCAGTGCTTCTTCCTAATGCAACCTAATATGCCATTAGCCTTCTTGGCTACAAGGGCACACTGTTGACTCATATCCAGCTTCTCATTCACTGTAATCCCCAGGTCCTTTTCTTCAGAACCACTACTTAGACAGTAGGTCCCCAGCCTGTAACAATGCTTGGGATTCTTCCATCCCAAGTGCAGGACTCTACAATTGTCCTTGTTGAACCTCATCAGATTTCTTTTGGCCCAATCCTATAATCTGTCCAGGTCACTCTGGACCCTATCCCTGCCCTCCAGCATATCTATCTCTCCCCCTAGCTTAGTGTCATCTGCAAATTGCTGAGGGTGCAATCCATCCCCTCATCCAGGTCGTTAATAAAGATGTTGAACAAAACCGGTCCAAGAACTGATCCTTGGGGCCCTCTGCTAGAAACCGACCGCCAACCTGACATCGAGTTAATCACTACCCATTGGGCCCGACCTTCCAGCTAGGTCTTCCTATCCATCTTATAGTCCATTTATCCAATCCATACTCCCTTAACTTGCTGGCAAGAATACTGTGGGAGACCATATCAAAAGCTTTGCTGAAGTCAAGGTAGATCACATCCACTGACTTTCCCATATCCACAGAGCCAGTTACCTCATCATAGAAGCTAATCAGATTGGTCAGGCATGACTTGCCCTTCGTGAATCCATGTTGACTATTCCTGATCACTTTCCCCTCTTCCAAGTGCTTCAAAATGGATTCTTGGAGGATCCCCTCCATGATTTTTCCGGGTACTAAGGTAACGCTGACTGATCTGTAGTTCCCTGGATTGTCCTTCTTCCCTTTTTTAAAGATGGGCACTACATTTGCCTTTTTCCAATCATCCAGGATCTCCCCCGATCTCCATGACTTTTCAAAGATAATGGCCTAAGACTCCACAATGACATTTGCCAACTCCCTCAGTATCCTCGGATGCATGGATTTGTGTATGTTTAGCTTTTCTAAATAGTTCCTAACTTGTGGTGACTAATCTGTATGTAAAGCTGTAAACTGAAATATTTACTCCTACTGTCAAATTGTTGCATTGTCTTTGACATGTTTATTTACCATCCTGAGATGAAGATGGGCAACAATAAGTGCTTGTATTGAAAACTCATGAAAAGTTACTATATTTATTTTTACACTGAATTGTAGCATTGATTGCTCTTGATTTCTTTGTTTTATTATTTGTTTAATGAAAACTATGGTTGTCATGCCAACCCTCCTGGTTTTGCTGGTAGTCTCCTGGAATCGGGTTTGATCACCCAGATTCCTGAAGCCAAACTGGGAGATTGTCCGCTAAAAGTCCACCAGTGCAATGGGGCTAAAGCAGGCTTCCTGCCTACCCTGGTTCCACACTGCTCCCAGAAGCAGCAGGCACCTTCCTCCCTGCAGTCTCAAAGGGTTTCCGTGCGCTGCCCCTGCCCCGAGCAAGGACTCCAGTGGAACCTGTGTCAGCCCTACTGCACTACTGTCTGGGACTCTGATCCACCTGAGGTAAATGCCACCTGGCCAGAGCACATATCCAGACTCCCTCCCACACTCCAACCCTCCGCCCAACCCTGCAACTCCTCCCCAGTTCCCACACCCAGCTCTGCACCTCAACTCCCAGCCCCAGCCCTGAGCCCCCTCTTGCACCCAACTACTTTCCCAGAACTTGCACCCCCCTCTTACACCCAACACCAGCTTTATCCTAGTGAAAGTGAATGAGGGTGGAGGAGTGCAAGCTAGAGAGGAAGGAGGGTTAGAGTGTACAGGGGTGGGGCCCTGGAGAAAGAGTAGGGACCAGGCCTCAGGGGAGGGGCAAGGTGAGCAAGGTCCTGTATCTCAAAGAACAGATTTAGTTATAAGTATTCATGAGTGTTTAGAGCTATAAACCTTGAAGATACTGGATTCAGCACTAATACAGTAACAGGCTTTAAAACACAGATGCATTAGTTTGATTTTTGTACAACTGCATTATCCTATAAAGTCATCTTTACATGGTTTTTACTTGTTTCATATCTTAAATGTCTATTTTGTAATAAGTTTGGGGTTCCTAATATACTAAAAAGTACACTTATTATTACTTTTACTGTTAAAGAATCTAATGTTAAATTAATTAATAAAGAGGATCTTCCACCTGTGAACAGCGGTGGATAGAAGGTGCTGGGAGGAAGGAGAGAAGCTGATTGACAGAGCTCACCAGTGAGTGCCAAACACGCACAATTTTTTCCCCATGGGTGCTCGGGGAAATATATATACACACTCTTTAATCACAAAGCATGGTGTTCAACAGCCTGAAAATCCACACACAGGAATCACTTGGGCCAGTTTCATTATCAGACCATCCAGACTGTAGTAAGCTGCTAACAGATCAACAAAAATAGTATCTGTCTTGAATTCTCATTAAAATTCAGCTTCAATGTTTGTAAGTAAGAACCAGAACCTGATTGTAGCAACTTCTGTGCAGTCAAAAACCAGCTTCCTCCTTGAGTAGACTGGTGTCTACAGTGGGCCCAATTTGGAAGGAGGAGCACAAGAGAATGTGTTGTCCATAGTTCTAGTGAAAATGGTCCAGTCTACTTCTTCAATGTTCCAGAACTGCGTCAATTTTGAGTAGAGAACTGGGCTTTCAATTCCAGTATGGGACAGTATTGGTCTATGCTGCTGTTGAGGAACTTATTGAGGATTATCTGTGATGCAGGTATGAGCGTGCCTGTATGATCTTTTGAGGTAAACATCAGATCAGGGCAGTATTCTCTGCCCCATCTTGTTATGCCCTTTCAGCATGACTGTGAACCATTAATGGTTACTCTGAAAGAGTAATTATTAATGAAGTGGGTTTTGCTCATGAAAGCTCATGATACCATCTACATGTTTTGTTAGTCTTTAAGATGTTACTAGACTATTGGTTGTTTTTTAAGTTCTTCCTGTTACAGACTAACTCCGCTACCCCTCTGAAGTCTCAGAGAACAGTTATCCATCCAGTTATGCACTCACCTTATAGTCGCCGCATATAGATTGCATTTCCTTAGTTTACTGATAAGAAGGTCAGACCATATCAAATGCTTTACTAAAGTCTAAGTATACAACATCCACCATTTCTCCCTTCTCCCTTCGATAGAAAACTTGTTATTCTATCAAAAAAAGCTATCAGATTGGTTTGACATGATTTTTCCTTTTACAAATCCATGCTGGCTGTTACCTATCATCTTATTATCCTCCAGATGTTTGCAGATGAAGTGCTTAATTACTTGCTCCATTATCTTCTCTGGCATAGAACTTAAACTGACTGGTCTGTCGTTTCCTGGGTTATTCTTATTTCCCTTTTTACAAATGGGCACTATCTTTGCCCTTTTCCAGTCTTCTGAATTTTCTTCCGATTTCCATGACTTATCAAAGATGATAGCTAAAGGCTTAGGTACCTCCTCTATCAGCTCCTTGAGTGTTGTAGGATACATTTAATCAGGCCCTGATGACATGAAGACATCTAACTTTTTAAAGTAATTTATAACTTGTTCTTTTTTTTAATTTAAACTTCTAAACCTACCCCATTTCCACTCAAATTTTCTATGTTAGGCATCCCATTACCATCAATCTTCCCAGTGAAAACTAAAACAATGAAGTCATTAAGCATCTCTGCCATTTCTAAGTTTCCTCTTATTGTTTTTCCCTCTTCACTGAGCAATATTTTAGTTACTGATTTTGCATTAATGGGCTTTCTCTTCATTTGCAACACAAACCTCCTGGAGAGCACCACCATCGATGATGGTCATTTTCGGTATATTCTCCAGGTAGTCACACTTGGACTGTTAGAGGCATTCAACATTTAACTGGCAGATCTTTTACCCATGTTCAATTTGCCTAGTATGTTGGCCCTCAAAAATATGGCTTATATTGTTGCTTTTCTCACCGAGAGATGGTGACCTTTGCCCGATCAACCCTATTAAGTAGGAAACCACAACTAAGGTCATCCAAACAGTGACCAAACTTCAACTGTTGACCTCCCAGGAAAAGAGGCAAAACTCTCAGGTCAAAAGAGAATATAGGGCAAGTTTTCATACAAATTAGGTGCATAGTATCAAAAGTACACATGCAATTACTATAATTTTACACACAAAGAAAGTAAATTCATTTACAAAAAAACAAAAAAACCCCACACCTGAGCATTTTCTGCAAATGGCAATTAAAACCAGCGATCCTAAATATGCCATTTATAATTTTTGTCCACAAGTGATATTGAATGTAACAGAAACTTTATTAACCTAAAATTTAGTTTACTGCATAAAGACCACTCTATACTATTTTATATAAAAATCCTTTCGTTGTAATCAGTGGGAGATCTGTTGTGGACTGAAGGTACCATATGGCTCTAATTTGTAAATCTGGCCATGGAACACAACAAAAAATGCAGTTAGACCTTCTCCACAGAATTAGTTTTACATCCCTGTAGTACAATATTTACTCTTTTAGTTTTACAAATTAAAAATTTATATTTATAGAATTACTAATGATATTTTAGCAATGTTCACAACAGATGTTCAGCAAGCAGACATGGAACAAAATTTTCCTTAAAAAATTAGTTTATTTGCAGTGCAAACTGAATTTAGAGTCCAAGAATTTTGAAAATGACAGAAAACCCACTTTAAAGAAAAAGAATGTTTAAGAGAAAGTGCTGTTTTAGCTACAAAGAGAAGATATTAAGTATTTCTTCATATGCTGTTTAATTTTAAAAACTCTATTGCCCCACAGATGTGAGAATAAACATGATACTGGCATTCCCAGTAATCATGTGATCTGAGTGTAGAAGAAACTGTAAGCTAGCTAGTTTACACAGTGTTTTTCTGCTGCTGTTTTTCCAGTAACAAAACTTTAAAGCATATCCAAACATATATGAATTTTACATAGTTCCAATGGGATCTTGATGATAAATATTACAGAAGTACAGAAAAATAACTTACCTGCCACAGATACAAGTGTAAGAAGTATGGCGCATGCCACCACGAGTATAGCAATAATGTTGAAACAGGCTGCAAATAAAAAAATCAGTAATTAATAATTTATTCAAAAACAAAGCAAAACAAGAACACAAGCAAGATTACACTGAAGCGAAACTTGTGTGCAACTCCTGCTACTACCTGACAAATATGTCCCTGAATTTCTGCTCAATTTAACATGCTAATTAACCTACATTCTCTCACCTCCGCCAGTTTGTGTACTTTTCATCATATACTTGTCATCAAGCCTAGTATGAAACTTTGCAACAGAAAAATACTGAAACTGCACTGAACTGAAGCACATTTAATTTCTAAAGAATGACAAACTGCTTTCCTTAGTAACTCAGCACAGTAAAGCAACTTTGGAATACGCTGGTTTATCTGACCTTAGAACCAACTAGCTAATAAACAGTTAAAAGATCAAAGGCTGAAAACAATTGTTAACCTGCCTGAATCTGAGATTACAGATTTCATTAAAATATTGCCATTTTACATATCTGACACACCAACTATAAATTAAATCCACATTTGTTGCAAACCCCTACCTTAATAATTTCCCAAAAAGAAATGCAACTCCCCAAAAGATGCTGAGATAGGCCAGCTTTCTCCACCATCAGGGGCCTCCTAAACAAAGGTATAGTCATCTTTTCTGTAAGCCTTTTCAAAATTTCAGAGTTTCAGGTTTGCACACCACTGTATTGGCTTTGTTACCCACAGATGGTCCCCTCTAGTGCAAGTTGATGCAAACTAGCAGTGAGTGGGGAAAGCCTGCATGATAGTTGTCCATGCTGTACCTGTTCTCTATATAAAACAAGACTATTTTTCCATGATAGGGCACATTTTACTAGCACTACATCCACAGTAAGCGTATCAGGAAGAAGATGTGTGTTCTATTCCCACTCAAAATATGAACCTACTTACTGTCACTTAAGACACTTAAATACCTTGGTTATCTTACCATTCAAATGGAAGCAACAAATAAAGAGCTGGATGTGAACAACAAGACTATACTGTAGTAAATCAGAGCTATAGAAGGAAATATTACAAAAGTGTTTGCTTTATATATATAAAACAATACATCTTGGAGGTTTATTCTCATTGCAGTGCTGTCCTCCTGGAGGAGCTATTTAGCCTTGAAAGCACAGCAGCATTTTCATCTTCTCAAATATTCCACTGTAAAAGTCTGTTGCACATGAGGACTGATGTGCCCACAGCACAATCACTACAGGATTAGGTGCAATAAGAGCTAAGCACATATCATGGACCTTTTTATTCTTTGTGAAATATGCTCTAATGACAATCCAACTCCAATTAATATTGAATGGATTTGGGAAACTCATTTGTTGTAATACCAAAATCATTTCACTAATACAGAGTGATAATGGTGCCATTCAAATATCAGTGAAGTCAGGATTTTGTCTTTCTATAACTGCAGTCCATATAACATAATGCTCATTGTTTGGAGGACATTAACAGCATTACTTAAAACAACTATGGAGTCAAAAAATATTTCAAATTTTCTCAAAGTGATAACTGAAGAGAGACAAACCAATCCCCAAATTATGCACACAAAGGAAATAAAAACAGAATCAGAACTCTAAGAACTTTATCCTGAATTTTCCGGAAGATGGATTTTATAGGATGTTTCCTCATCTCTAATTACAATGATTTTACTAGTTTTGGATCACTCTGAAAACTGCAAAGTCAGAAGAGGATAACAATATATGGATCTGAGCAATGCTCTGAAATTTAAAAAATGGGATAACAAGCGACCCACTAACTTTTGCATCTGGATGCTATCAATCTTCCGTTTGGAAGTCACAAACATCAAGCTTTCAACATCACTTAACTTTATGGACTTATGTTTCTTTTCCATTTGCAAATTCTAGATTTCTGCCTGCATAACACATTTGCATATACAAGTCTATTATTACAGGCATTGTGAACATGCACCCAAACATAAGTACCGTAAATTAGCGAATATAACCCGCATCCATGTATAACAGGCACTCGTGTATTACCTGCGGATTTTCTATCGTGTATAAAAAAAATATTAGATTACCCGCAGATGTATATAACCCGCAGAGACTTCTGCCGCCTTCATAAAAGGTGGTCTTTGATGCCGCGTTGGGAGATGTGGAGGCAGCAGAAGTGCTGCCACTTGGGCCAGTGCAGCAGCCCCGGGCACTTAAGCAGCAGCGCAGAGGTGAGGAGGTAGCCGCCCAGCATAGAGAGAGCAAACACAAAGCGACGGCCATCCTGCTGCCAGTGGGAGGGCAGCTGTGCTCGCGCCCAGGTCCACCCCGCGCAGCCACAGCCAGGTGCCACCCACCCACCTCCAGGCGGGGGGAACAGAGAGCGCAGCACAGGCACGCTGGAAGCTTATCAGGCCCTTCCTGCCCCCCCTGCAGCAGAGCTGACCCAATTCTAATGGGGGGGGCAGGCAGAGCCGCTTAGGGGGGACTCCAAGGAGTAAAAATCAACCCGTATAAGACGCAGACATGTATACCCACGGGGGAGGGGAGAGGGGTGTAAAAACGTGTATAACCCGCGACTTATATTCGCTAATTCACGGTAGGTTTTAGTGGTTTTTTTTTTTTTATAAATCCCTACATAGTGTTTAAGTGGCTGAGTGAAATATTTCCTCTTCTCAGAAGCTTTCAGTAGCAACCTTCTAAACTGCTTTAAAAATGAAATAATGAAAACTGTAAACTTCTATCTTGGGTGAGACAGCAGGTTTATTTTTCCAAATGACAAATGACCACATCTTCATAAAGCTGGAACTTATATGAAACTTCACACAGTAATGTAACAGTCATCTTTTGCTGCATCCCCAGATCAGCAATAAAAGGTAGTAAAATAAGATAAGAGATGCTGAATATAATCCAGTTTTTGTCTGAACTTTCCATTAGCTTTTTCTGAAAATGGTTACATTGTGTGTTTCAAATGCTATTGATTTCTTTTTTAAAAAGAAGAAAAACTAAAAAGACATTGTTAATGTGATTGAGCTAGGGATAGTATATCTTTACTAACTAATGTGTTTTCCACTAAAGGCAGGAGTAAAATTATTCACATTATTGTACAGTTACTATCTCAGTCCTCTGATTCATTGTCAATTATGTTTTAATGGCGACTGCATTAGCAAAGTCAACATTTGCCAATAGTGGCATCTCAATTTCTATAGTTATTTTTATGGCAAGTACAAGATACCACTCCTAGAAAATGCTGGCTTTTTCAAGTTAACAACTGTATATCCTGCTTCTTAAAAGTGGTTGGATCACTGTGGATGAAATCCTTGCTCCATTAAAGGCAAAGGGAGATTGAGCCAAGATTTCACCTGTGTATAAGAATGTTTTTGTAAGACTGTTCCACTGAACAATGCAGCTTATAGTTATATGAAACAGATTACATTTTTTCTGAGAGAGAAATTTGATGGATCTTCATGGTGTTTTGCAAATGCAATGCAAAAATTATGGGAGCAAAATGCTGCAATATGGACATATGACTTCATCTGGAAATCCATATGAAGTTATATTAGATACACAATAGCTCTTTGTCAGGACACTTTTTTGACTAGCTGCTATGTATGTTTAATATGGTTTTATGCTGGATCTGGATTTCTGTAAGAATTTCTAATGCATCCATTATAGGTGCAAGCAATTGGCTCTTTTTTCCTCCCCTCTCATATTTCATAACTTCCAACAGTGTTTTATACAGTAGTCACCCTGTAGGGTAATAATTATTTTATATGCAGGGCACTTATCGGGAGGCAGAGAGGGGACAGTGGTCTTGGGGCTGGGTGACTGAAAAGGGTAGGGGATTCCAGGTACTATACATTGCTGCTGGAGCTCTGCATGGCGCAGTCCAGGCTGGCTGGGGGAGGCATACCGCTGTCCAGACGGTGCTAAAGGTTTGCTGTCCCCAGCCCCAACCCTTCTGAGATCCCAACCTTTCTGAGGCCTCGGATCAAACACCCCTCCCTGCATTTCTTAGGGCTCAGCAAAGTCTGTTGCCAGCCCTATTTACAACTGACAAAGTGTGTCTTCTAGAGTTTAAAGATAATTTTAGAAACAGATCTCTTTGTCCTTAATTTTTAAAAAGGAAAACATTAGCCAAAGAAAATCTGATATATAAGTTAACCCTATCTTAAATCTGAAGTATCAGGTAATCTTATTCCTATAGCTGTGCCTGTTCTTGCTTACTTTACTGACAGTGCTAATTTAAGGGACAAGAAAATTTACCTCCCAGAAATGCTGGGTTTTGAGCCATTCAATAAACAGAGCAGCACTGTCACAGCTGCAGGGTGCAATGTGCCTAAGGGGGAGTTTTCCAATAACAGTTTTTCTATTATTATCTTCTGGACTCCGATCTTAGCCATTGGTTCATTCCTTTTGTTTTTTTTCTTAACAGCCTTGATTAATTTAACTCCTGGCATTCAGATAGGTTAATATCAAACAGATAACTTGAGGAACATGTGCCATTTATAAAAAATAATACACAACTCCCTCAGTCTCCACAGGAGCATATCGATATTTTCAATATCTTAAATGGTTATTGCATACACGGAAAGCTAACGCTGCAAAAATTGCAAAAGAATTTAAAATAAACAAAAAGATTTTAAGTCTTTCAAATTATTATTTTAATGTAAAATCTATTTTGGGTTGTCTTTTCTGTCAACAAATGCTTAGAACAGTGGTCCCCAACGCGGTGCCTGTGGGTGCCATGGCGCCCGCCAGGGCATTTGTGCGCTCCCGCTGACAACCTGGGCCGGCCCTGCCCCCGGCGCGTGGCGCACTGGAGGCGCCGGCTCCAGGCACACGACACGCACCGGCGCCTAGTGCGCAGCGCTCGGGCGGCCCCAGTCC